AAGTATAGTATAAATTATTATCAGTTTTATTGACTTGTGACTTGTGTTACTGCCTCATTTGGAAGTCTACTGCGTTCTGCAATGTCACTGTCTCTACGACCACGATTGAAGTCAACGTTTAATTGTTGTTTCTAATGGAGCGGAATCCTCGATAATACTTTTCAAGCCATTACTTCGCTTGAACGGTATTTTTTCTCATCAAGAAGCAGTGTAAAATTTTAACACGAAATTTTTGCTTCATTGTTATGTAAATAACGAAAGTAGTGTCACTCTTAGCACAATAACTCAGAAATCTATGAGCAGAATATCATGAAATTTCAACAGATTTCTTTTGAAGGTTAGCACTAACTGAAAGAGCGGCAAATGCAATAAGGCTAGCGCCATCTATGTGTTAGGTCTGACACTTTTTAGTCCATGTAGTATTCTCCATGAATGAATCAACTTTCATTTCATAAGCCTTCCTTGCGAAATATAATGAACTGTTTCCAGATTTCTTTATGGGTTTTCTTTGTATCAACTGGAATACTAGTGAATATTGTTTCGTCTACTTTTTGCAGAGAAACACTGCCAAATCGCTTGCTTTCACTCATTTTTTTTTCAAAATTGATCATTACAAACTCGGAGATATTGTGCCGACACCTCGCGTCATGATTTCCGATCTCATTGTGTTCATATCAACCGGTTAAACAGGACTAGTGCAAATAATCGATGTAGAACTCTGTAAAAGACACATAGCATTAAAATTTGTCATCGTTTTTATTATTACAGGCTTTATATTTGCTTCACCTGTATGTTTGTATGTTTATTTGTTTGTAACTTTCCTTTTCATTTCATATCGGGATCTGTATTTGACAGAATTATTGACATTATTGCTTGATCTATTCATGGGCAGATGGCGTTGTATCTAACCTGCTTCTAAACAATATACCTACGGCTGATTGATCCCAAAGTTTAGATAAAATAAATATAGTTAAAAAAGACTAAAAAACACGCTTTTATAGCATACGAAACTAAAAAATGAAAAATAAATATTGTATAAAAAACTTAAAAACAGGCTTTCAAAGAACATTGAACTAAAAAGTTGAAAATATTTTTTTCTAAATAAGCAAAAGCGAAGGCGCTTTGTGACATATTTTTGTATATCAAGCGCCTGCAAAAAAATTATTTTGAACTTTTTAGTTCGATGTTCTTTTTCAGTAGTAAACTATAACCTTTGAATGGGGTAGATTCAACTTTCATCATTGTCAGAAATGATAACATAAAAGGCAGATGAAATAATGTACCACGTACTATTTTTTTATGACGATTATACCTACATAGATCTGTACATTCCCAGTAAACCCGATGCATGAAGTTCTATTGTGAATAAAATTTTAGAACAAGAGGCAAAACAGAAGTACTTAGTATGTTTTCTACAGATTAAATTTCAAAACCAGCTCTGAACAAAATCGACCTCATTATTCTGATAAGAAAATCTGATTCTCCAGGAAAAGTTTTCTGAATAATATTGAACTTCGCCGGGAAACCTTTACTCAACATAAAATTACAATTGCTATCTCCTTCCACCGATTATTTCCGTAAACATTCCATTCCTTACTCCTCTGTCGGTGTCATCTTTTCGAAGAAACAGGGATCATCAACGATGGTGGCGCCACCTTCGCTTATTCTTATTGGTTAATTGCTTCATCTTTATGGTGGCGGATTGGAGTTTGTTTTGAATTTGCCGTGAATTGTGGATTTCCATAAATATTTCAAATAGTAATTGTGTTTGTGATATATTCCGACGTATGAATGACCAGTATTTCATGCAGATAAAAAGTGAACGCTAATACATCATAGACAGCTCAGTTTAGGGCGTGTAGAAGCCAGCGTAGGATAATGGCCGTGATTCAGTGAATAGCCAGAGCCAGTCGGTGCCGTTCTCCCAGTTCGTGTTTATAAAAGTGGAATGCAGCTGAATATAAACGACGTGTCAGCGATATATTGTAAAACAACATTGAGGTTTCGAGTTGAAATAAAGCGTTGAATGTATTTTTTATACAGTTCATTGGTTTTGTGAAATCCTCAACTTGAATTAATACAATGAAATCAGGTTAGTTTATTTGTTTACTGGTGCTTATATTGTAAAAAACTTGTTGTTATAAATCGTTATCCAAGTGTTCAGTTCAGTTTAAGATAATTCTGTTTTTATTCGAGGGCCATTATACTTGATCCAAACTAAATAACAGTATGTACAATAGAGAAATATTGAGGTGAATTTTGCGTTTTAAACGTAAACTACTATTTACTGTTTAAAATTTTTTTTGTTTCTTGCTTGAAATTTTATTATTTACAGATCTACGTTTTGAAACGTCAAGTTAGAGATTTAGGTTAGGTTATTACCCAGTGGATTTATGTCAAGTCTTGAGAATCTATTTTATTTTTCATGGTATTTTTTGCATATTATGCTAAACATCGGTTGTATTGCATGCACTTATTGAACCTCTTGAATTGAGTTGAGGGTGAAAATGACAAATTTGAAAAGGTTTCACTGCCAATTTCAGTTACTTTTCCATTATTAGGGATAAAATAAGTTTATGTAACGCAAATATTCCATTGCAGTTTCTATTGCATTCGTTCCTACAACTGCATAAATGCACGAATAGGTAAACGGCCGGAATGACCTGCTTTACTGCCTACCGCTCAACCAAATAAAACTGCCTCACTCTACTTTTATAGCGTTGCATTGTTGCCAGATCAACCAACAGCGATTTTATCCGAATTTAAAAAATCAATGATTGCAAAGTCCAATTTTAACAATTGTTTCTTGTTAGAGATATTGTATGAAGGGGACAGAGATATGGAATCAAAAGACTATATATTTTTTAGTTCCACACTCGTTGAATGTTTTATAACGGATCATTCATTAAGCGACCGTAAAATGGGACAAGCGCGCGATACGTTGCTCGAACATAACACCCACTTTGATAGAAACAATTTTATTATTTGCACGTGTTGTTGAATGTTATATCTGTCCATGGTGATTTGTTGGGAAAACAGACTATTATAATAATAATTTTATTAGTCTCAAGAAACACAGTTTTTAGATACGTGAACACAATTTCTAAAATAGTTTTGAGAGGATAAGATTCGTCAATATAGTTTCTAAAAAATGCTTGTAGGTAAATTTGATTTACAAAAAAATACAAGTTAACAAGATAAAATTCCAATCTTATAAAATTTGAGTAAAATGTAAAGCCATGAGCTTTTACAAATTATAAATAACATAGCTAACATAAATGGCAATAATTTGACAGATAAATTGCTTCAATAGTTCAAAATTGTCTTTGGGATAAGTACACTTTTTATGATAAAGATTAAAAAATGTTATGTGTAATGTTTGAAGTAACATGTGTCACAATAAAAATCTAGATTAGTAAATAGATAATTGTCTAATCAACTTTCGTAAGTTGGAAAATATGTTTCAAGTGCTATCAGTCAATACCCACTTATTTGAAAGAAATTATAATTTTTTCCATAGCGACGCCGTTCTTTAAGAAAAAAAGTTGTCAAGAAGTTTAGTTCGAGGTGTATTGAGTTGAACTTCGAGCTGAAGCACTTCTGTAGTTTTGACAAACACCTACTCGAGAAAAACAAGCGATTAAAAAAAGAAGAGTTTATAAACGACATTAATTTTCAGAAAATATACATCTCATTTGGAATAGGAAGTGTAAAAATGATATTTCACATTATTTTTCAAGCATTTCTTCCGTTTGGAAATTATAAAAGATGACGTAATTATTTATATATTATATTGTGTTTGAAACAGATTTAAACTGGATTGAAAGTAATTGCATTCCATTTTTCAAACGGATCCAATAAAATCTTGCGTAATTTCTGTAAATAGGGAGTTGCTTATTGAAACATGGCAACAATGTACACAACCTCTTTCCCTTAACTACCATGCCCCTCTAGCAGCTGGGATGATAATGCAGCGTTGCCATATTTTCACGTACCATCTGATTTTATTGACGAATGGATCCGTTTTGGCAGTTGCCACATAAACCAATCAGGATTTCGTGATTTAGTTCGTCTACTCCCCTCTCTTTATTTCCCATATTTTGAAATCTGGCCTACTGCAGTCGCTTGATAAATAAAAACAAATTATATTCGTCACATTGATACTTGGGCAACGTTGTAAAATTGTTGTAGAATTTTATAACTCTTGCAGGCAGGCAACTTTGACCGTTTACTAATTTTATTTGTTATTTGCAACATTTCTGACTTTTATGTTGAGAAGGCAGGTATGCCAGACCCATAATTAATTATAAATATTGGTGGTAGAGTTTCTCTGCAGACTTCTCGAGATTTGTTTTCGTAGAATTTACCGGCGTGTCTACACCCCTTATCGTGGGGTGAGGTATCTACAAATTTGTTAAAATATGGATAACTGCAAAGACAAATTCTATTAGGTTAGGTTCACAACATACGACAATTCTAATCCTGTAGAACTTACAAAGTTTTAGGACAGGTCAAATAGCATTTTGCACATAAATAGGTGAAATATTACTTGAAATAAAATTAAACCAAACATACAAAATATGAAAGATTGTCATAGACATAATGAGAAAATTGTATTTTGAGTCTTGAGCAATTTTTTCGAGCTCCTCTTGAAATTTTTGCTAGAGGTCATTCCAAATCGAATGAGCCCGGGATCATTATTTTCGGTGCCCTTGGACAGAAGTTCCAAAAAAAGGATCTTGTGGCCCAGACTACTAAACAAAATTCAGTAGAGGCTACTTTACCACTAGCATGACATTATGACCTTGTTTGACCATTAAATACAATAAAGGAACAACGTTTAGTATAATAGGATGTATAGGCTATTCACGTTAGGAAGAGAATGACGTCATTTTTGGTAATTTTGTATATCCAACATAACAACGTTAAAATTCCCACTGAAATGCGTTCAACAGCAATGAAACTAGTAACATTTCATTTTGTAAGTTGTTCAACTGATAGTAAAATTCAGACGTTGCCGAGTCGAAAAAAACTGGAAAACTGACAGTCTTTCTTTTCTTTTCAGAACTAATCATTTCTTTTGATAAGACCTGCGTATATTCAATATGACTAAAGCATTGTCGAAATAGTCTCAACAAATACTGAAAGTAAGTAAGGATAATAGCAATAAAACATATCAACAGTACAAAAATATTTTAAAGTTCGAAATAGTGCACATGTTGGCATCGCCGTAACTTGTCATCTTGTGACGTCATTCTCTTCTTAACGTGAACACCCTATACCTACCCCTATTGAAGTTACCCCTTGAATTATGGAGAAAGATACTTACCTACCTAATAACTTGTATTGTGAATATTATTCAGAAAAAGGTGCATTTTGCTGTATAGGGAGAATTAGATTCTCTGGATTTTAATGCATAATAAAATCCATGACATGATCTTGCCCCTGACGCCTGAAGACAAAATATTTCCTATATTTTGTCTTCAGGTTAAAACGACATATACACTGTAGGTACGTCTATAAACTGTCACAACTTTGGTTTGGTCATTAATTAACATGTAGTTCAACATCATGACGTTATGATTGTATAACCCCCTGGCTGATTTTATTCAAAATACGAGGTCTGTCAATGGTTTTTTGAAATGCACCGTACTCAGGCAAGTATTTGTCCAAAATACCGATTGATGTTCTATCCGGCTGTTCTTTCCGGATATAATTCAAAATAAATGTCTGCTGTTTTCATACTATCCCTATCAAATTTATAATAAAGTTTCAACATACAGTGTGTAACAACGATAACCTAACAGAGCCGTTTTTTAATATAAAAAGTAAGATTTTTAAAAAAAGCTCGGACACGTCGATTTCTAATTAAAGGGGGACACCTTTCAGACTAATCAGTTTTTTTATAGAACGCACCCCCTCGGAGGGGTGCGTCCGACGACCCTTATTTAGATAGGGAAAGTAGGTCGAGTGGCACCTTGTTTTAAAGTTCTTTCGAATACCTTTACATCTCTGTTAAAAGAAAATTTTTGTAACGATTAGTTTTCGAGATAATTTGAAGATTTAAAGGTATTTTTAATTCTTATTTAAAACCGAACCTGCCTCCCTGAATTTTGTGACCAAATCCAGAACGTGATTTCTGCTTAGGTGTTTAACAGGGTTTTGCTCGTTAAATAAAATTGATGTTTTATTAGCATTTTGGTCGTTGCCAAAAAATAAAGCAATAACCCTTTCAGCGGTAGTGTAAGGCATTTTTAAACAAATAACAATACACGACCTGTTTAAACAAAACAATCGAACGATGTACTAATGGAAACTGGAAGAAGAGGAGCGGGTATTGATTTTAAAAAAGGGATTTTATTTAACAAAAAACTGATAAGAAGAACTGCTCGAAAATTTTTTTATTTAGGCATATAAGTTACCGAGTGGTCTGTCTAATGTATTATTAACATGGCAATTTTAACTTCAAATTATCTCGAAAACTAATCGTTACAAAAATTTTCTTTCAACAGAGTTGTAAAGGTATTCGAAAGACCTTTAAAACAAGGTGCCACTCGACCTACTTTCCCTATCTAAATAAGGGTCGTTGGACGCACCTCTCCGAGGGGGTGCGTACTACAAAAAATCTGATTAGTCTGAAAGGTGTCCCCCTTCAATTAGAAATCGACGTGTCCGAGCTTTTTTTTAAAATCTTACTTTTTATATTCAAAAACGGCTCTGTTGAGTTTTCGTTGTTGCACACTCTATATGTAGACCTATTAACTATGTTTTTGTTTCAGAAATGATGTAATGAAATGTTGGAGAGAACTAGATCCTATTTTGATAATGTTTTGTCAAATAATTTCAATTATACTCAAGACCAGAGCGACGTCAGAAAACTAGACAGAACGAATCGAAATAGACTGAGAAATTCAAAATCGAATTTGAAGAATGATGACGTGAGTGAAGCGGCAGATGACCAAATCATGACACGTAAGACTAGGACCAGACGACCGAGGATACCAGCACTTCAATCTGGCTACTGCGCAGTTTGCAACCTGCCCTACAACAACGTTGAGGATCACATACAATCGAAGAAACACCAAAAACTCATCGGGGGAGATGCCAATTATATTGCTCTGAATGGATCACTGAACGGATTCTTGGAAAATAATAGTATACCGTTCTTGAATCTGAACGGGGTCGATGCCATAGGTAGGTTTCAAATCTAAGCTTGTTTAAGTGGGGCGTACATTCAATTATGTAGCGATTTTACTATGTTGGTACAGTCGTCTCGAAGAAGTCTCTACAGTTTCAGCTGTTTAGCATGTTTGGTTTGTCGGTGAGATGCATAAAAGTTAGGAAGGTGTACCACAGGGCTCAGTTCTGGGTCCTGTGTTGTTTTTGTTGTATCTCAATGGAATTTATGCTGTTTCTGCTGATGACACATCACTTATAATATCTAACAAGAATGATTCCCTACTAAAAAGCGATTGTACTGAAATAGTAAATAATCTATTCACATGGTGCTGTTCAACTGATCTATGTTTAAATGCAAATATGACTAGCATGATACGATTACACACAAGGCAAAGTAATTGCATGATGTGAAATGATAATGCAGTGAAGGTTCATATTTTCTTTTTCAACCTCTCTTTCTAAGTAACGGCAACCAGGTATAATCCATTTCTACAGAGCTATTTGAAATACACTTTTTAGCTGCTAAATGTACATATGCCGATCCTGCCATCTGTCTTCTCTTTATTTATTCACGATGTGCATTTTTTTTCACATCTAGTGGTCTTGAGATCTCACCTATATAAGTTTTTCCTCGGGAACAAGGTATATTGTAAATATAATCTTTCGTTTTTTCAACCGTATTTTCTGGTTTAGTTTGCGTCAAAAGATATCTAAATGTGTTAACAGTTTTAAAAGTTGTTCTTACAAAGGTTGTTCTTACATTTTATCTATAACTGATGTGAGGTATAAATTTATGGATGTTGCAGTTACTACATGATAGGAAATCATTATGAAGAAAAGAGACAATGGAAGTCTGAACTGATGAAATACACCACGAAACATTGTCAACCACCTTCAAACAAACTGTAGTGATGTTTCCCAAGAGTTTTTTTTTCAAAAACCAGATTGATTGATAAACATGATTTGATTTTTGTCAATAAACTCTAATAATTGATTAATATACTGCTATTTCTAAAACCTTCTCTATTGGAATTATGCAACATCAGCACAAAGTAGTTCAATCCTTCGATACTCATTATTTTCAATATTTCAGGAGTACACGAAACATCTTTTGAAGAATTGTCTCCAAAGTGGAAAAAACGAACCATTCCCAGAACACGTACACGTTCAATAATGTGTGATCAAGTGAAGTCGTCGCCGTTACCGTCAACTGATTGTGATACCGCTGGACATCACTTGAGATCAAGAAGAAATGTTAGTTACATGACACCACCGTCGGACGATGATAGTTTAGAAGATCATCCTAATTTGAATTTTCATGCGGAACCGATACATCCCGAATACAAGGAATACCGAGAGTTGCGATCTAGTACACGGGCATTGGCTGTAAGTTATTCAATTACATATTTCAAAATCATATTGTATGATATGACATTACGAGGGTAGTTTGAAAAGTTTCCGTAATGATATGACATTACGAGGGTAGTTTGAAAAGTTTCCGAGCTAACAATTTTTCGACATAGTGTCCTTTCAACTCTACACAATTCTCCCAGCGAGGCTCCCATTTCTGTTACTCGTCCAAATAGTATTCGGTTTTTTCTCGCAAAATAATTGTTCACATAAGTGATTGCCTCTTCATTTGACGAAAATATATGTCCTCCAAGGGCAATTTTCAGATGAAGGAAAAAAAGAAGTCGCTTGGGGCTAGATCTGGTGGATAAGGTGGATGGTTACGCAGTTCAAACCGCCATTCGTGGAATTTCGTCATGGCAACCACTGAGATGTGAGACAGTGCACGTCTTGGTGAAACAGGATTTTCTTTTTCTGCAAATGCGGCCGTTTTTCCGCAAGTTCTGCCTTCAACTTGTCTAGTTGTAATGCGTAGTATGCTCCTGTAATGGTTTTTATTTATTTACGGGCAAGCCCATTTAAAGTATGAATTACAAAGTTAAATTATGATTAAAATATAATCAAATAATATACTGAAATACACATTGCAACTGAGAATAATTTAAAAGGGGTTAATTTAGAGTATAAAACAACAAAAAACAATGAGCGTTAATAAAACATACCACATATACTACCTCAAACTATACAATAATAATGATAATAATTGTAATTTATTGAATGAAATTACAAATTTGCTCAATTGGACCAAAGTACTTCCTCCCGTGTAACTAAATTGCTTTGAAATTACAGAGCTTATTTTACAATATCACAAAAAAAATTATGAATATAAAAATGAACAAACAAAACAATTTCATCAATAAAGTTGTGTTACTTTTTCTACCAGTGTTTCTGTTGGGTGTCGATGTCGTACTCTTGCATGGGGGTTTCTTGTCACAGCATACT